AACTTTGAACACCCTTTTCTTGAAGACTTTCAATAAACCATCATCTCATCACATCTCTTTGCTATGCTTCTACTTCAGAGTTTGTCTGTTTGGCCTCCATTTCTGATGTAGAGGAGGGAGGAGTAGCATCCTGGCTCTGGAGGAACATATAGGAGGATCTGGGGTCTTGCCAGTTCCTTTTAAAGACTTTCTGCAATCCTGTGTTTTCACATAAATGGTGCTCCTAGGTTCCTGAAATTACTGGTTTCTTTTGTTATTAAGCCAGTTGTTGAGATTAGTGAAAGCCAAGTGGTAGAAACTGGACTGTTTATTATTTTTGTTCTTTTTTTCCCCATAGATCTCACAGAGATAATCACTTAAGATACAGAGGCATGGTATAAAGAAATATGCTTGTTGTGGCATTTTCACAATGTAAACAGCCAAAAGGTCCACAAGACGGAAATAGTGAACTGAATTTTGATTAAACAATGCAATGTAATATTTTAAAGCCATTGGGGGCGGGAAAGAAAGCTTTGCTTACAGCATTTGGTCACATTTCTAGCATGAATGTCTTCTACATTCTTACAGGAAAAAAAAAAAAGAAAACCACAATCAGATTCTTCACAGCAACAGTTCCTGTAGTGCTCATTTCTTATCTGTCTATTGCTGTACTAAAACACCACAACCAGGGCAACTTATAGAAGAAAGAGTTTATTTTAGCTGGTGGTTCCAAAGGGTTAGAGCACATAATGGCAAGGAAAGGAGTGGCACCACTGTGGGATGCCACAAGCTTATATCTTGAACCACAAGGCTTTGAAACCTCAGAGTCTGCCCCCAGTGACATACTTCTTCCAGCAATGCCACACCTCCAAACCTCCCCAACACTACCAGCGGGGGAACAGATGTTTAAATAGGTGAGCCTAGGTGGATATGTCTCATTCAAACCACCACAGAGGAGTGTAGTGATAATACTTCCTAAGTTTGATGTAATAACACATTAAAATCTCTACAACACTTAGAAAACAGTCTGCAATAAGGTAAGCACTATGTGTGTGTGTGTGTTCTTTGATTCTTCCTAGACTAAAATTTAGTGCATGGTAGATACTTAAGAGTTTTATAATAATAAGACTTTAGTCCTGAAATAAGAAGTCCTATGTCAAATCATATGTGAAAATGTATTTGAGAGGCTAGAAAGATGGGTCAACAGTTGACAGCACTGGCTGCTTTTCCACAGGATCCAGCTTTGGTTCCAGCATCACATGATAACTCATTACTCCATTTTTAGGAGATCTGATGTCCTCTGTTTTTTCTCTATAGGCACCAGGCATGCAGTGGCACAAAGAACTGTGCAGGCAAAGTACTCATACACATTTAGAATAAAAAAAAAAATTCAGTTGAAATGTATCAAAGATCCAAATATAAAAACTGAAAGTCTACTGTAAGAATTGAAACATCTACAGTCCAGAATAAACAGGGAAATTTTTACTACTAAATATAAAAAAGACAAACAACCAAAACTTTTAAATGGGGAAAAAAAAGGAGCTGGGATCCAGCTCAGGGGCAGAGAGCTTATTTATTTTTGAGGCACATGTTAAGTCCTCAGCATGGCAAAAGATAAGTCAAAATCCCTGGTAATGTCTATAATCCCAGCTCATGTGAGGCTGAAACAGAAGAGGGAGATCAAGGTCATCCTAGGAAGCAACAAGGGGAGGAAGGGAGGGAGGGATGGAAGGAGGGATGGAGGGACGGAAGGAAGGAAGAACAAAGGAAGGAAGGAAGGAAGGAAGGAAGGAAGGAAGGAAGGAAGGGATGAATCTGGGAAGTAGGAAACGCATGATGTATTCAAAGGAAGTCATGCAAATGCCCAAACCTGTGCATGATAAAAGATTGAGCATCACTGTTACCAGGGAAATACAAATTCAATCTCAAACTATACTGAATGCCATCTAATTTCTACTAGTATAGCTTTATTTAAAAAGGAAAATAAGTGTTGAAGATGAAGTAATAATGCAATTCTTAATAGATTATTGTTCAGATGATTAAAATGTGTGGTTACTTCAGAAAACATTCTACTATTTCTTCAAAGGGGTAATTATAGGGTTTTCCTATGACCTGGTAATTCATACACACACAGGAAAAAAAACAAAAACTTGTATATCAATGAATTCATTTCCTCTGTAGTAAAATGGTACGCCTCTTTAGTAGCCTCCGGAGATAGAAACAATGTTAAGAGCCAGGGCCACAGGTACCCTTCTTCTGAAGTCACTGCTACTCCACAAAGCCTGAGTGAGCCATTGCAAAAATTCCAGTCACCATAGCTTTTGTAATAGTTCATGGTGTCAGGAGTTAAGGGTTGTGTGTGACAAAATGGGTGTTCTTTTCAAGTGTAAGTGTCACCATCTGCTCAAGGATTTGTATCTCTTAAAAGGGTGTGGCAACAAAACGTGGTCATGGACCTCATTTCATGTCTTCAGCTGCATGATCGATAATATTTGTTGATGAAGGTTTTCTTGTCCCGCCAGGTCCCATTGCTTCAGCCCCAAATAAACATACAGACACTATATTTGCTATAAAACTGTTAGCTAATTGTTAGGGCTTCTTATTGGCTAGCGCTGTCTTAATTGTTTACCCATTACTACTAAGCTATGTATTTCTTTCCACATGGTCTTGGCTTACTGGAGAATGCCCGGGCCTCTTACTCCTTTGTAGTCTATGTGGTGATTCTTTTGGTAGGCTCTCTCTGCCTACCTTTCCCAGAATTCTCCTCATCTCATAGTCCCACCTATCTTCCTCCCTCATTGGCCAAACAGTGTTTTATTCATCAACCAATAAGAGAAACATATATACAGAAGGACAACCCCCATCAAATATTAGCTTTTGCCTTCTGTTTAGGACATTTGTCCAGATTCCATGAAATGAGTTATGTTTGTTGTGACTGTGATTACTATATCTTCCCAGTATGTTTCTGGGGTAAAAGCCTATCCAGTCCTGTAGTTAATACCTTATTTATTGATTTAAGTCAGTGTCATGTGTACCAGATTTCTTGTTAAGACCAAAAATGTTTGTCACAATTGTTTCAATTACCCAAATATATCACTTTTCAAGTTTAAAAAATACAACATAAATAAAATTCTTTTGAATATTTATAGTAATATAACATTTCAAGTTAGAAATGATCCAGTAAATAGTTGGTAAGCTAAATTCAGTATATCCATTCAATATAACATTTGCTAATGAAAAAGGATGAAGTCCTGATGTATGTTACAACAACATGGATAAACATGTTAAGTAAAAGAAACCAGACATAAAATTTTGTACCACTATATAAAATGTTCAGAAGAGCCAAATTCATAGAAATAGAAAGATCAGTAGTTGACACTGGCTCTCAAAAATGCACTGGTTATCTTTGCAGAATGGTGAAAACATCCTGAAGTTGGATAGTGGTTATGATAGCTAATCTCTATTGTTAACTTGGTGGCAGTGAGACACCTGCAAGATTTGTACAGCACAGAACTGAATGTGGCAGTAAGGACATTTACAAAGATGATTAGATCATGAAAGCTTTGACCTAATCAATGGATTAATCTACTATAATATTCAGAATTTGAATAGGCTATTGAAATATGATGAAATTATGGAAGGTGGGGCTAATTAGAACTTATTCATTAGGAGCTTGCCTTTGACAACTTTATCTTAGCTTTGTATCCTTCTTTTTATACCTCTCTGTATCCTGCATCCTACACTCTGTAATCATGAGATGGGAAGTTCTATTCCTCCACATGCTTACACTTTTTTCGCCTAGCAACAGGCCTGGAAACAATGCAGCCAGATGGCTATGGACTGTATCTGTGAAACTGTGACCCAAAACAAATCCTTCCTCATTTTATCTTGTTTCATTTAGGTGTTTGTCACAGTAACAGAAAGCTATACTGTAAGAAATGCACAACTCTGAAATATTAAAAACCAATGGATTATAGACTCTAAAATATTGTGTTTACTTTCATTTTAAGTCATATAAGCTGAGCCTTGTGGTATATGTCTGTAATACCAGCAGTCTTGAGGCAAAGAAGGAAGGATCATAAGTTTATATAACACATGACAATAATAATTTTAAAGTTTCTTTTATAACTAATCAGTAGGTCACCTTACAAATAATATATTAGGATTCAGTATCTCTATATTTAATACAAGATTTTAAATTCCATTTTGTTGTTTAAAATGTAAAATAAGTTTTTAAAAATAGCAATTTGATATTGGGAAAATAAATTTCTTTATTCTCTACTGTTACTTCATCCATTATTTCAGTGATAAATTTTTTTGAATTCTCAAATTACAAACCAGTAAACAGATTGTACAATGATGTATTTAATCCCATGGCAAACACAACAGTAATAACATATAGTAAACTTAGTAAAAACTTAGTAAAAAAACTTAGTAAAAAAGTGCCAATTCCATACTTTTTATGTATATAATTTTTTTAGTATGTACTTTGATTCTTACTAAAATAGCAATTGATTTTTATGAATATAAAAATTTGGGTGGTTTTTGAATAATAGTTAATTGAAAAACATTGAACTTTATATCTGATATTATACTCCTTTTCTGTTTTAGAATTGTCTATGTTAAGGTCCAGAGATGTAGCTCAATTGGTAGAATGGTTTCCAGCATGCACGAAGTCCTCAGTTCAATCCTCAGCTCCACATAAACTGGACATAATGGTCACATTAGTCATGCTAGCACTTGGGAGACTAGAGCAGGAGGAGGAGAGGTTCATAGTCATCCTTGGCTACATAGCAAGTTCAAGTATGCCCTGAACTGTACAGGACACTTGTCAGAAAGGAAGAAAAAAAAGAGAAACGGAGGGACGGAATCTCTAAATCATTCTGTTTGCGCTTAAATCAATTACAAGACACCCATGTTTGTTTAATGCATTGGAAAATTCTAGCATTGCTGACATTATGGTTCAAGAAATTAACATATTTAGCAATGATGTCATATAATGTGTTATTCTGTTTTCTTAGGAACTCCCTGCACCACTACTTGATGACAATGGTAAAAAAGAGCTTGAAGATGTTCATAATTCTAAAACACCAGAATCAGATGTTAACATGAAAATAGCCTGGCGATACCAGTTGCAACCCAAGATGCAGGCAAGTCTACATACAAACTGCCTCGAAAATGTACAAAGCATTTCTTGTCACTTTGTAGAGTCTCTGGGTCTTGTTTGCCCTGCTTGGTTTTAGGTCTTGTGGCTTTGGGCCAGTTTTTCTTTTTGAAATGGGAATATTATTCTGTGCCGTTGTGTATTAGAAATGTTTATGATATAACTTGTTTTCTTTTGTGTGTGTCTGTTCATAGAGGCCAGTTTTATGTGTCTTCCACCTCTCTCCTCCTTACTTCCTGAGACAGTATCTTTCACAAAACCTGAAGCTTACTGATTCAGCAAGTACAAACAAAATAATTTAGACAGCTTCTCCCTTCTTCCTCTCCTTCCTTCCTTCCTCCCTTTCTTTCCTTCCTTTTCTTTTTTTCTGGCAAGTGTCCTGTGTAGTCCAGGGCATACTTGGACTTGCTTTGTAGCCAAGGATGACCATGTAGCAAGTCCTTGAGATATTCCTGATAAGATTGCCTATGATTTTAGAAGGGACTTTTGAACATTGGGCTTCAGAGTTATATTAGATCTTTGATATTTGAGACTCTTACAGATGGACTAAATGCATTTTGTATTAAATCTGAGACTTTAGAGTCAGAAGTGGAATATTATAGTTTAAAATTATGTGTTTGGCTATTTAGTTGGTAAGAGATCTTGTCTTAGTCTGGGTTGCTTTTGTTGTGATGAAACACCATGACCAAAGCAACTTGAGGAGGAAAGGGTTTATTTCACTTACAGTTCTATACAACAGTTCATTATCAAAAGCAGTGAGGGCAAGAACCTAGAGGTAGGAACTGATGCAGAGGCCATGGAGAAGTGCTGCTTACTGGCTTGCTGCCCTTCCTTGGCTTGCTTCCCATGGCTTACTCAGCCTGCCTTCTTATAGAACCAGGACCACCAGCCCAGGGATGGTATCACCCACAATGGACTGGGCCCTCCCTCATTGATCACTAATTAAGAAAATGTCTTACAGCTGGATCTTATGGAGGCATTTCTCAATTGAGGCTCCCTCCTTGCTGATGACTCTAGGTTGTTTCAAGTTCACATAAAACTATCCAGCACAGATGGATTTATAATGATTAACTTTCAATGTTAACTTGAACTAGATTTAGAATTGCCTAGGAGACACACATGTGCTTCCAAAGAAACTTAGCTGAGGAGAGAAGACACACCTGAATATGACTGTACCATTCCATAAGCTAAGGTCCTGAATTTACAAAAAAGAGAAAGCACGCTGGGCTTTGGTGGAGCACGCCTTTAATCCCAACACTCGGGAGGCAGAGGCAGGCGGATCTCTGTGAGTTCGAGGCCAGCCTGATCTACAGATTCTGTCTGCTGTCTGACTATAGAAGCAATGTGACTGACTAGCTTTATATTCTCCTGCTGCCATACCTTCACCATGTCAGACTGTTTGAGGGAACTTTGAGCTATAACAAACTCATTTCTTGTCAGGTAACTAATGATAGCACTGAGAAAAGTATTACAGTACTTCACGCTTCATATGCCACAGTGTTTCCTAATTAACTATTCCTTTACCTTCTTCATCAGGTGAGGCTTCTTTGGGAAGATAGAGAACTTATCTTATTTTCTCCTATATTTCCACCATATTTTAATGCCTACATGATGAATAATAATAAATACAGGTATTAACAGTTAATAATAAATGTGTTTATTAATTTGGTCAGCAAATATCAAGTACTCACCCATAAGCGGTGTACCAAAACATGTATATTAAGTCGTAGCAAGGTGTTCTTTTACACATATACTTTATTTGAATAACAGGATTTAAAACTTTAATTTAGACAACTATGAACAAACTGCAAATTAGAGAGTATTTGTGCTCATATATAAAATAGGGAATAATTGGCCTGGAGAGATGACTCAGAGGTTAAGAGCACTGGCTGCTCTTCCAAAGGTCCTGAGTTCAATTCCCAGCAACCGCATGGTGGCTCACAACCATCCATTATGAGATCTGGTGCCCTCTTCTGGTGTGCACATATACATGGAAACAGAATGTTGTATATATAATAAATAAATAAAATCTTAAAAAAAAAATAGGGAGTAATTTTCCTTGTATAAGTTGATCCTGTAAAATGAACAAGGAAAACTGAATTTCTACAAGTCAACAACAATATGAAGAGGACATTTTTGTGACTTTTAAACTTATAGATCAGATATCTGGTTTCAGTTACAATAAAAGAAATTTAGTTTAGAGCCGGGCGTTGGTGGCGCATGCCTTTAATCCCAGCACTTGGGAGGCAGAGACAAGCGGATCTCTGTGAGTTCAAGGCCAGCCTAGTCTCCAGAGCAAGTGTCAGGATGGCTCCAAAGCTACACAGAGAAACTGTCTCAAAAAACCAAAAAAGAAAAAAAGAAAGAAAGAAAGAAAGAAAAGAAAGAAAGAAAGAAAGAAAGAAAAAGAAAAAGAAATGTAGTTTAAAACTATAATACTGCCCTGTCACTGTTCAATAATCGGTGTCACGGTGTTCTAAAATATTTATCAAGATACTTTATTACTAATAGAGGGAAAGTCATACTCTCCTTCTTGCTGATAAAAGCACAGATGGTAGAAGAATGACAGGATAGCTCAGCAGGTAAAAACACTTGCTGCACTGGCCTGACAACCTGTGTTTGCACACCCAGAATATCTAACCACAGAGCTGACAAATGTCCTTTAGCATGTCTGTTCCCACACTTAACACATTCTCTCTCTCTCTCTCTCTCTCTCTCTCTCTCTCTCTCTCACACACACACACACACACACACACACACACACAATTTTAAAAGCAACTTTAAATGTAGCTTCTATAGAGGATAATTTGATAATATCCTTCGAAATTTACCTCATGAATGTATTTGCTCAGCTGTAGAATATGTAAGAATTATTCACATAGCACATTTGAATAGTGAAAGATTGAAAATAACCTAAATGTCCATTAGTAAACAAAAATGACATATATTATAGTATATCTAGAATGTAAAATCACTCATATTAAAAGCTAATAGAGGATAATGGGGTAAATTCAGAAGTTTGTAACATGTATAGTCTAGTGTAGCTATGACTGAGAATCTAAGATGAATGTAGCTCATGTGCTTAGGAAAGGGGGTTAACTGACAGGTTGACACTTAGAGAAGATGTAGGGACTACTTGAACCTCAGTAGTAGAAGGGCATGTGCTTTCTCTGTTAAATTTATGAAGTCATTTATTGATTTGGGGATTTTTTTCATGTGTTTACTTCTATAGTTCTTTATAGATCGCAAATATTGACCCCCCCCTTTCAGATACATAGTGGATAAAAATTGTTAACCATTAAAGAAGGCTGTCTCCTTACACTGCTATGTCCTTTGCTATATATAGAAACTTTTTCATCATATGTAATCCCATTTCTGGGTACTTAAGAATATTTCCTGTGCTATTTGACGCCTTCTCATCCTGTGCCTATGCCTTAATGTCTTATCTGTTTTTCTCTGGTAGTTTCAACCTCAGATCTTTTTTTTTTTTCAGTTTTTTAATTTAAATTAGAAACAATCTTATTTTACATATCAATCCCAGTTCCCTCTCTCTTCCTTCCTCCCATTCCCCAAACCAACCCCTATCCCATCCCTCGTTTGCTCCATAGAAAGGGTGAGGCCTTCCATGAAGGATCATCAAAGTCTGTCACATCATTTGGGGGAGGCTAGGCTGAGAGAGTATCCCTACATGGGGAATGGGCTACCAATGTCCATTCATACACTAGGGATAAACACTGTTCCACTACCAGAGGCCCCATACACTGCCCAGGTCTCTTAACTGACACCTACGTTCAGAGGGCCTGGTTCTGTCCTATGCTGATTTCCAAGCTGTCACTCTGGGGTCCATGAGCTCCCCCTTGTTCAGGTCAGTTGTTTATATGGGTTTCCCCAGCCTGGTCTTGACTCTTTTGTTTATCACACCTCCCTCTCTACAACTGGATTCCAGGAATTCTGCTCAGTGATTAGCTGTGAGTGTCTGCTCCTGCTTTCATCAGCTACTGGATGAAGGTTCTAAGATGGCATATAAGGTAGTCATCAATCTCAATATAGGGGAAGGGCATTTAGGATAACCCCTTTACTATTGCTTAGAATCTTATTTGGTTGTCATCCTTATATATCTCTGGACATTTCCCTCGTGCCAGATTTCTCTTTAAAACTATAACGTCTCCCTCTATTAAGGTTTCTCTTTTCTTACTCTCCTCTATTCTTCCCCTGATTCAGTCTTCCTGGTGTCTCATGTCCTCCCCACTCCTTTTCTCCCCTTCTCTTTCTCCTAATTCCCTCTCCCCTCCCTGTATGCTCCCAATTTGTTCAGGAGCTCTTGTCCCTTTCCCCTTCTCTCGGGGACCATGTATGTCTCTCTTAGGGTCCTCCTTGTTTCTTCCTCTTGTATCTTCCCTGGGGGTGTAGATTGTAGGCTGGTAATCCTTTGTTCTATGTCTAAAATTCATATGTTAGTGAGCACAAGCCATGTTTGTCTTTTTGTGACTGGGTTACCTCACTCTGGATGGTTTCTTCTAGTTCCATCCATTTGCCTGCGAATTTCAAGATTCCATTGTTGTTTTTTTCCCTCTGAGTAGTACTCCATTGTGTAAATGTACCACATTTTCTTTATCCATTCTTCAGTTGAGTAGCATCTAGGTTGCTTCCAGGTTCTGGCTATTACAAATAATGCTGCTATGAACATAGTTGAACAGATGTCCTTGTTGTATGAATGGGCATCCTTTGGGTAGATGCCAAAGAGTGGAATTGCTGGATCTTATGGTAGACTGATTACCATTTTCCTGAGGAACAGCCATACTGATTTCCAACGTGGCTGTATGAGTTTGCACTCCCACCAACAGTAGAGAGAAGTGTTCCCCTTTCTCCACATCCTCTCCAGCATAAACTGTCATTGGTGGTTTTGATTTTGGCCATTCTGACAGGAATAAGATGGTATCTCAGAGATGGTAGACTGATTACCATTTTCCTGAGGAACAGCCATAC